CCCCCCCCAACAATTAAACAAGGTTGAGTGAAGTTGGGAGCAGCCTTCCCAGAGTTTGGCCTCACCTACCTTTTTGTGCAAATCGAGTAAAATTTGACTCCCAAACACGCCCTTAACACTGCTGATCTATTCTCTAACACCAGCCATCCATGTCCGAACCTCGCCTCTTCATGTTTTAAACATTCGGCTGGCACAGCCAAACAATACCTCAGACCTAAATATGTTTGTAGGAGTTGTGTCAATGTAATTCAGATGTACCCAAAGCACTTGGGCACGTCTGCCATGTTGATGTTTAATAAAAATTTGATTTGAGTGGAGTGGAGTTCGGCAGTGTTCGGCATGCCATGTACGGCTATGCGTGACAAGTGCTTTATATTAAGCACTGTTTCTTTTCCTGCAAGCGTTAGCGTACAAGTGTATTTTCCCTCCTTTCTTTACACACTGTAACCAATTTTACCTCATTGATTCTCTTTGACTATTGCTGTATAGATTTCAAAAGTGTAAATGGTTTTGTACAGGTTTTACAGTGAGCTACATGTTACATGGAGTGCAACAAGTCATTGTTTCGGGTGTGCTTTCCCTGAGATCCTTAATGAATAAAGATTTGATTTGCCTCAGCGTCAATCAGAACTTTACCATCACCTGAACGGAGTCCCTTCAAGCCCGGTGGGTTTTCCTTCATGGATGGCCGACTCTTTAGTTGAGTTGGAGCCCTATGAGATGTTAATATCTCTCGTATAAGATCTCGATCGTCCTCGGTGAACTCCTTCATCAAGCTGACAGTGGACGAGTTCATACTGCTACTCTGGCCTTCTGAGGTGCCTGCAATGCAAGAATATGTACTTTGTGGTTGTTATTATTAAAGGCATAAAGGGAATTATCTAAATTGAGTATCTCTGTTGACTAACTGAAAAAAAACTCTCAACAAAGTCTGTACGATGCTGCTTTCTACTTAGATGGAGCCTTATGTTCAGGACAGTATTGACTGGTCATTAAAGTCCTTAACAATGGCTGTGGGTTGGCTTACGGCCTATTTATCAATATATGAAATGCGAACTCCTGATTGGTCCATCTATATAATAATGTCGTTAGTATTTCCGAAAAAAATAGTTTCATCCGCGGTAAAACATTGGATATTGGGGTTATCTTTTTACACAACCGGTAAAGACTCTCACCTGTTTACGTTTCAATGTTTGTCAGGCATTTTCTCCAGAGCTTCTAACTGAGGTACAGCTTCTCATCGCTATATTTAGCTAATATACAGTACAGGTGGCGGTTTTGCTGCGAGAACCTCAGTAATGAACCGTGTCCTCGCTAAAAAAAGTGCCCCCTACATTGGCTAAATTTAATGGCGAAAAGCGGTACTTTACTCAGAATCTCCCAGGAATTTGTCCAATTGATAGACATCGAAATGTAAGCGAACCGTAATGTTTTTGATGTAGTTGAAAACTTCATGATCATTTACTGTACGGGCTACGATTCTCGTAATTGATAGATCACCAACTTGCCTTGTTTGTATTTATCTTGGTTTTATCCACCTCGTAATGATTTCTTATACTCGTTGTATGTTTTTGAGAAGAAGGTGTTATATCAGGAACTTTTGCTTTTTGCCCAATACTCAATAAATATATGTGAATAAATAAACTAGAAAGGCCAATATTTGCTTTGGAGCAAATACAGCGATGGGTTCACCACATTTTACGACATGGCAGGGAAAGAATGAGAAACACAAGGGAAAACAATGATTTACATTGATATAACTATAATATGAAGTAACATACGACTAAAACAACAGTTGGATAGCTATTCCCTACTTTATTGGTTAGGATTTTTAATTGCATAATGCAAACTGTTGATTTTCAAAATAAAAACAACGTTCATGCCCCGCATTCCAATGCTGGAGCAGGAAAGCTTGAAATACCTACCAAAACACTTGAATACAGACATACTGTCAGTATGGAAATGCTCTGTGCAGGTGTTAATCAAGTTAAATCCCAACAGCCAATCAGCAAGAAATGCTCTGTGCAGGTGGAAATGCTCTGTGCAGGTGTTAATCAAGTTAAATCCCAACAGCCAATCAGCAAGAAGAATAGAGGAAAGCTGCATGCCTATTGGTTGATGCCCTGCATTCCATTGTGATGACTCATACCCAAACGTGGTAAACATGGCACACTAACACAGTAATACATTTGCTATAACACAGCCAAAAAAACTCAAATAAAACCATTTTAAAAGCCTGTATCACAAAAATTTTAAAAAACGCCTAGGGGTATTTGCCCACTGTACCTCCATACCAAATTTCAGGACCTTAGGCCCTAAAATGAAGAAGCTGAATCCATTTAAAAAATGGCAGGAGAAGAAGAAGGAGGAGAAGAAGAAGAAACACCAGAAAAAGCAATATGGTTTCACCACACGGTGTGGTGAACCCATAAAAAGAAATGTAAGCAGGATAGAGACATTATACCTGTTGTGTAAAAAGAACATCCTGTCGTTATCACTGTTTAAAACATCTCTAGTAATTTACAATACCGGGTTCTTTGCTCTTTGCCGTCCGACGATCCTGCTCAGTTTCCTTCAGCTGGGCTGGTCTGGCACCACAGTGGCGGAAAATCTGCACGATTGCCAGGTTGACAGGAAACACCAACAGTGCGCTCTCGACGGCTATCATGATCTGTTCAATTAAAATGAGACGAACGCGATTTTATGATACAAAGTAAAGAGAGTTTGAAGGTATCCAAATGCAATTTCAGGACGGAAAAAGCAATATGGATGAGGCGAGAAAATCTGCCTGATTTTGACATTTACTGCAATTTTCGTCATCATAATATTTCAGTCCATACCATGGTATGGATGAAATATATTGTGTTCTCTGATCTTTCTTCTCCTTCTTCTTCTCCTTCTCCTGCCAAACAGTCAAAGGGATTCAACTCCGCCATCATTCAGCCAAATGACTTGAAATTTGGCATGGAGGTAGAGTGAGCCAATACCCCCAGGCATTTTTTTTAATTTTTTTGATACATGCCTTTGAAAAATTTTTATGAAGGTTTTTTGGGGCATTTTTCGCCAAAAAATGGATTTTTGGATCCTGAGCCCTGGTTTTACAACCAAATGATCTGAAATTTGGTATAAGGGTACCTTGAACATGTGTCTACAGAATAGCAGTCACATATTTGGCATACACCACTTCCAAATGACTCATTTGGGGGACTTTAATGGCTATTTCAGGCCAAAAAAGGGCCAAAAGTGCTGTACCCGTTCCATGTTCTATCTCATTTATTTCATTTATTTCGAAACCTTTTAGCCCTGCAGGGCTAGTCTTCCAAGGCTCAAATACATGGAAAACAGGCACATCGTTACATAATTATATACATAGGAAATAGTGCATAAGATACAGTGCAAACGTTTAAAAAGACAAAAATACATCAAACATCAAACATTTAAAGGAACGCATAAATGAATATTAACAATTTAAAAACTAGAGGTCGGCTTCATGTGACACTGTTTACTATCTAAAGAATGGCCTGTTCCATCCATGGAACATGTGTTCCATTGCGGGTTACCTGAGGTCACATTGCACGTAAGTCGTGTGTAATGACCCACACATTCAATTTTATGTGCCTAAGACCTTCAAAATGTATCAAATCTCATCATTGTTAGTATTTGCATACCTGTAATAAGATTAGTAAAGCTTTCGAGATTCAATGTGCTTGTTCTTGCATCTTTGTTCTCAATTACATAGCTACTATATAATTCATTTATTTGAGAATCTTTGCCAGTTTTACACTGGGGTAAGTTTGGAATAGTCCACTTTTGCGTGGGAGGGAGATGGACTGAAATATGCTGTATTTGCTCCCAAGCAAATGTCGGGCTCTCTAGTTATCTAATACTTATACTTATCAGAGTAATCAGGCCATTTGAAAGCATTTGAAATAGTCCCAAAACACACTACGTGAGGCGTTCCTCAAACCTTACAGCATGGTCTCAGGTTTGACATCCTGAAGAGGTGATAGTCACCTGTTATGTCAATCCTTCCACAAATGTGATAAAAGATCTTCATAAAAAGATACAAGTCACTACTAAGTAACCTCTATGAGGTTGGACTAATCGCTTTACCTCGCCCCAGGAGATTGGTAGCTGAACGTCAAAGCCGAAGATGTTCACAGCAGGAGGCTTCTGGAAAGTGTCCCCAGTACCAAAGAACATGATGTTGGCCAGCATGGTGCATAGCAGCAGCGATAGACAACAGGAGACACGCTGCACGCGGCTGAACATGCTGTAAAATAACAAAACATCCGGCACTTACATGGCTTCAAGATGGGTTTTTTAAAGGTAACAAGGAAATGACCGTTGAGGCAGATGAAATAAATACGCATGCTGTCGCATTCCAAAACATGGCTCATTCCAAAAATATTTTTGGAATAACACAAAGTGGAATGCACATTCCAAAACGAATAAGTAATCGAGTAAGTTGGTTCTAACCTAAACAATTATTCAAAAGAAATGCACAGAGACAGACAAGGCTTTCTTGACTGGCACAAGATGAAGTTCCTGATGACCCGCTGTACAGAGGGCTCTTTATGACAGCGTGGCCGGTAACTTTATGAAAAATTACAAATCCTGGTCCAGCTGTGCCATGATTTGGAATGCAACAAAGTTGCATGCCTGATCTGACATATCCCCAAATGTTCCAAAAATCAGTTCCAAAACGCGTTTTAGAATGTCATGTTCTGTAATGAAATCTGAAGCTTGACATAAATCTAGAACTGTTAACCTGTATGCAGGTCTGCCGAGCACAGAGAACCACAGATGATCATCACGGAATCCTGTCCCGGTCTTGGACGAGAAGATGGTCTTAAAACGTTTCATCTCCGTGTCTGATGCGACTGGAAATATGCGCTCAACCTTCCCATCCCCTTCTTCAACAGCAAACCACCTGGAGCAATCAAATGTAACCTTCATCAATTCAATCTTAATTCCTTATTCAGCTACGTAAGTAATTCCTCATTTTATTGCAGCCGCGCAATTCAATTCAATTGGAAAGAATTAAATGTTAAATAGAATACCTACTTGTTGCATAGAAAGTAGTACTTGTTGTCTGTTTTGACCTCCGTGACAATAATTTTGCTCAGGAACCTGAAAAGGAGTAAATATATGTTATAGTTAAAGCATATGGACGGCTTGTTTATCCGATATAGAACTACTCCGCCCACCGGAGGTGTTTGATGGCCCTAGGGCGTTAGCCCGAGGACGGCACCAAACTCCGAGGAGGGACGGAGAAGTTCTATATACGGATTAACGAGTCGTCTGCCATGCTTTAACTAACTTAGAACCCAGCCATTCTTCCGAAGTAAAATATATCTAATGGATATACATTTGGAAATGTACGGCGAGACAGAAATATTACTTTTAAAATTCAGTGAATGAATGAATGAATGAATGAATGAAACTTTATTTTCGTGTCGTGCGCTTTCCAGCGCCCAGCCCGTGTGGGCTTATGCGACACCGTTTCAATAAATTATACATATAACAAAAGAGAATCAAAGGTATAGATAACAGAATTCAAACAGAATATGAACACAAATAAAGGTTGGCTTTATACAATAATGGTGAACAAAGTGAATTTACATAATGAACCAAGATCTCAAAATAAGTACATAAGTACATAAGATAAATCAAATATAATAAGAGAAAACAAACGCGCAGAAGTAACAAAACGTGAAAACTGTTGATGTGTTATGAATACAGGTGTTTTCTTCTTTTCCCCCACGCTCGATAAATGTGTAAGTGATTTTGTTGGTTTCAAACAGCCAGCCACCGGGGACAGGTGGTTTTATGTTCACATGGTGTGGTAGCTGGTGCAAGCAATGCCATTTTTTCGGGGTTTAATTAAAACCCATGTTGGTCAGTCTCCCTGTCTCCTGTGTAATCCTCCTGGGTAGAAAGGTGGACACTGCCATTGGATAGCTATTGTTTCCATGGATACAGTAACTAGAAGAGGTATCAAGATAATCTGATTTAAGAGGTTGGTTAGAACACCTCTCCCTCTTGGGAGACCCTAAATTAAGGCAGGCTCATGATTGGCTGAAGAGAGATTTCTGCAGTGGGCGTCTCAGTGATAACTTGATTGACAGGTTGGTTATAACACCTCTACCCCTTGGCTTCGTTTCTAACGTGATCTGTGTTTATTATTAGAACTTATGCAGCTGCAGGCTCGATTTTTGGGAAAATATTCGAAGTGGTTTTGTTGAGAATCTTTAGACTATCTTGGGCAATTTTCATCCAATTTCAAAGAGTTATCATGGGTAAGAACCTTTTTCGCCGGAGATAGTCGACAGCTTTTCGTAACCAGGCTACTAAATCTCTTGATTTGGATTGGCCTTAAAAGATTCAGAACTGCTAATGGCTTAGTCAGCAGCGTGTAGATCGCTACGATCATATTTCAATACTTCATTGCAATTAATTAATAATAATAAAGAAGGCAGTTCCCACCAGGACGGGTCGTCACCAGAGTTGTCGTGCCAGATATGGATGTAGTCTAGGGGACCCATGCCGTCTGCACATGTCACGAGAAAGAAGTCTACTCCTCCCGTGCAAAACGTCACCCTTCCGGGGTCGTCCAGGTCATGCGGGCCGGACTCGCCGTTACTGCCATAGAACATAGCTGACACCTGAAAAGGGCGGTGTTAGTTTGTTTAGAAGGGACTACACAATCGAATACAATCAAACAACATAAGCAGTTATAGTAAAACGTTAAACATTATTCCAAAACACAGTTTACAGAGGTCAATTTTTCAGCGACCATTGTCGCCTTCATCAGGATAATTAATGACCAATCACTTTACAGCGTGATCTCGCGAGAGTTACGGTTTACAAACACGTGACCTTATTCACACGAGACTTGACGGATACGTGACGTAAGCAAATGGTCGCTGAAAATTTGATCTCTCTGTAAACTGTGTGTTGGAATGAAGTTTAACGGTTTACTATGATTACTACCAACACAAATGAACTTTCATGATAACATATTAAGCAATTGTTTCTGCAAGACGAGGCTGCAAGCGAGGCTGAGATGAATAAATATTTGAGCAGCAGAAGCTGCTAGCTATGACGAATTTGACATTCACAACTTTATCATAAACCAGAATCTTAAGGCAATGCTCGTCGAAATGAATTGTCAAGCGCCTGATTATGAAGAAATATGGCAAACCCCTTTACTATTATACAGAGCTCTTAAAGCCCCTGCCTGCTCTCAAAGCCACGGCAGCTGAATGTGTCAAAATGTTTTAAAGAACATTTCTGGGTGAACGGGTGGCCCAACCATGGTTGGTTGGGGATTGGCTGGTGTCCGGGAGTAGGTCGCGGCGTTGTTGGCAGTAAAAAAAAAATTTTACTCGATTCAATTTATCGTATGGAAAGGAAGGTGTGGCGTATATCTGATCAGACTGGTCCCAAACTTGAACCAACCTTGTTCTGTTGGTATTCGGGGACGGATGGTAATGTGTGGGTGATGTTTAATGTACCTTAGCGGTTGTTCCTGCATTTGCCCTGGCACCGGTGAACACAACAACCTGGTACACACTGCAGCCGTCGCCCGGAGAACTGCCCAAAACGGTCGCTCCAACCTACGAAAGACACGACAGATCTTCTGCCATCTCTAAGTGTCAACGTCCCTAATCCTCACAAAGACGATTTTTGCTTAACCATGGAAAAATGGTTAACTACCAATATAAAATTCCCAATGGATAAAGTGACCAGAAATATACCTTCAATTAAAGAACAATTAGGAAAAACTACTCTTAAACTCCAAGGACATTCAGGACAACAGTAAGCAATATATACACAATATATACAGGCAACAGATACTTCAAAATTGACAATGGCACCATGAATAGAGGTCTCGTTTAACTGATACCAATTTGGTAAAAATTTTTTATATATCTTGGATCTCGTGGCGTCATGTGGCGTGATGGGGCCCGGAACCGATGAGTTCGACTTTAACTACATTTTACTGCATTTTACATACCTTTCCCCAACAAGCTATATATATATATATAATAGTAAGTGCCGATCTCTCGGCAGATGCGCATTGTTGGAAGAAGAGAAAAAGAAGTATTTTATCATTTACCTTTTCTACATCCTTCCTGTCCTCCCTTCTAGCCCATAGAACCATCAGTAAATAGATCCCAACGATGACGGCAATGGTTACCACGACTGCAGGGTTTTCACTGATGTTGTTGAATCCTTGCAACGCTTTGAGGATGTTAAGAGAGTTGGGAGCCACAAAGAACTGAAAATCCGACCCAAAGGCTGTCAAGTGGTCACAGAAACAGTGCGTGATGCGGTCGCTCGTCAGTGGACCACTCTGTACAGATAAAACATTAGAAGCAAGTTTATTTCGACTTTAAGTTTTGGGGTGATGGCTATACTTTTGCTACGTATGGTAGACTTTATCATTTCAACAAGCCGTTGTCTCTGTCGCTTGCATACAGACACTGAGGTTTTCTAACCTGCAAACTGGTATAAAGGGACATTAAAAATTTGCTAACTTCAACCTACATTCCGTGTGAAACCGACTAAAACAATTATGCAATTGCAAAATCTAAACCGTCTGACTAATATAAAGACCATCTCTTCAAGGAACGGAAAAATTTTCCATACCCTACATCCGTCTGACTTCCACCTGTGGCTTTGATCATCAAAGAACAGACATCTGGTGGACAGGATTGTTACTGTGTAGGGAAGGGTGAAGTTCTCGTCGTTGTAGCTAAACTCCACCTCTGATGTCCCGTTCTCCAAATCCCGTAGGTCGTACAGGTCAAAACCGCTTTGGTTAAACGGAATGTGTTCCACGCCTGGGGAAATGATGTAGAGAGATGTAGGAACGTGTTAACAACCACAACACCCAATTACAAATGTACGTGTAATGTTAAAGACTGTGCGAGTTAACGTTAAATAGACTCTGCATAAATTCTTGACATTCTGGTTAACATTGTTAAATACATTTTGCAAAAAATTGTATCTATTAGGAAAATGATGTATCTTCACGAATGAGAATAAGTAGTTCTATCAATAATAAGTCACAATCCCTGCTTTGCATACATTTAGGAAAATAAAAATATGCTAAAGAATGTATACTTTAAACTTTGGAAATTCCTCCAATGATTGTTAAAGTTCATTCTCATCACATACTGCACACTTTCTTAATCGGTTATATAGATATATAGTAGTAGTAGTAGTTTAGATTCGTGTACAAATTGGCAAGCTATATTGATTCGCTTAAAATATCTAAGATCATTAAAATCGCAATACACAATATACAATGTCTCCCTCAGAAGCACCATACTACAAAAAGTCATTTCGCATGAGCAGTTATATGATAAAATAAACTCTGACATAGACATATATTTGATAAGAAATACAGTACCAGGGTCCTTTCGAAAAGTAAGATCGTTTACTGTACAATTACAACCTTCCATTATTCAACATGTGGTCAGCGGGGCTCTTATGAGGAACAATAAGACATTGGCTTGTTTATCAACCTTGTCATCGAATGTGGGGAATAGATTATCCTTTATAGATTAGCCTTAAGGAAGAAGTTGCCGCGCCATACATTTACCTTCTACAATTGCTGCATAACACAGTTTATCAATACCAAAATGTCCCATTTTTTTTAAAAGGTCATTACCCAAGAAATATGTTTGTCCTTCTCCTGTTGCCAGCTCCTCCGGTGTCCAGAACCAACTGTAAGGGTCGGCAGTGATATCTTCACCGTCCAACCACCGGACCGAGTACAGCTGGTCAGACGACAGGGGCAGAGTGACGTTCCAACCATGCTGCCCTTTGATTGGTTCATCGTGGCGCCAAAGATACAGTTGGATCGGGACCCAGTTCAAATCAGGCGTGACAATAACGTGGATGGAATTTTCCTCCTCCGTGACATTAAAGCTGTGTATCTGTTGACACAAATAAAAGTCAATTTAACCGCAGTTAGCGATGTAACGTATTCTTTTTAGTTAATGTTTCATATGCTCAACGGGAATCTGTCAATATATGTTGCAATGTCAACTATGATTAGAATGAAAAAGCAGTTTGATCATAAAACTACAAAACATGAAAATTTTCCTGGTAATGTAATGATCTATAATATATCATAATGATTGTTCTTGAACTTTTTTACCAATTGTTTTGGAGTCAGAAGCCACAGGTGGTAACACGCCATTCCACACGGTGACACTGACAGTTATCTTCGATTGCGTGGACTACCAAAATCTATAATATTCGTTGCCAAATACAGTTCAAAAAGTGTAATTGATGCTTACAGACATGACGCTAGTTCCTGTCCGCCCGGTCCTTCCCCGTTCCGTCTGTACTTGTACTGTATCCTTTCTCTTTACAACCACCTCCACGGGTATTTCCAGGTTGGACACCGTCAGCTCGCCAACGTCGTTCTTGTATTTCAGAGCGCCAACAGACGACTGGATCCTCTCAGAGCCGCCAGCGTACTCATATGGGTTTATGGTCGTTTGGTAAGTCTGTGAATTACAAAAAAATGACTCAAAAGTTTGGACAAATCTAGACTAAAAATGACTGTAACGAGCAGCAGATAATCAAATCTCTCCAACCAAAAGACATGAAAATCTGTTTAGAATAGGAAATCCTTGATTCAATAGATGTACTATAAAGGTTTTGCGACGACTTAATGGCCGATTCATTTCTTAAATATGTACTATACGGAGTTTATGAGCCTTTCATACCTCAGAGCCAATCGGCTTACTACACGTATTGTCCCCGAATAGGATTGACGCGTTCGGCGTCCGAAACCAGCCGCCGTTTGCTTCTGTAGTGGCGACGATTTGTGAACCCATCTGGTCGCACGTCTGTTTCCGGAGGGACAACTCAAAGTTGTCCTGTTGGAGGAGAGTTGGCTTCTCGTTCGGCCTCTTGCGGCTCAGAACAACGTCATTCATCGTGTTCAAGGCTTCAAATACCTTGGTTGTTGTGACTTGTGTCTACAATGATATGCGAGTGGATAATTAGAGTATGGAAAGTAGTATATACTCGTATCCTTACGATCCTTAGAACAACGGCATGTTTGTGGCAACTTATTAATTGACCAATACGTTGTCACCATCAAATATGATTAGTCATTTTTGGATGAAATATAAACCACTGTGAAAGCCTGCTTTAAGCAAGTTAGTCTCCTCAGTGGTCTACCTGACTTCTCTTAAACAAGAATTCGGAGATTCTAGAATAAAAAAACCGTTCATGAATAAACCGGAAAAAGCTGTAAAATCTTACCTAAACTATACATACTAAATTAAATGCAATCTACTATTTACAGGTTCAACTTCTTCTGGCTTCTTGAAGCGGCTGTAGATGTACAAACATATGCAGCTAATGATACCTGTTTTTTAAAGTTCCATCTAAATGTCTAAAGCTGGGAAAAGCATATTTTATACAAGTATAGAGGGAATCCCTATCATTTCTATATAATTTAAAATTAACTACGAAATAACACGTATCCTCATTTCTATCTAAATTTCAAAAAAAGATTTCTCACTCTGAGACAGACTGAGCCCAATCATATCCATGCATTTCAATCTAAGGACTATACATACGAACGGACCTTCAAACAGACATACAAACAAATACCTCCATTTTTTTCATTACGGTAACATTGCATTCTCTGAGAAATAGAAGTTATCAAAACCAGTCTTTACCTGTTGAAGCCTGTCCGTCCTGGAACTGCCTGTCAGACTGCTCTTGGCCTCTTCAGATGAGTAGGAAGATGCTCTCAGGACATTCACGAGGGCTGAAGGGAACAAATCAACATCATACATGTAAGTCATTCACGTTTGCCATAGCCTTTTTAGACATCATATAGGCAATGTTTTGGCTTGATATTCACGATGTGATAACTGAAGTGAAATTCTATACTCAGTGGCAAGTGCACCATCAAACAATGGCACTGGCAGCTTGAATATAACCAGTGAATAAAAGAACTCAGACTGCCTTTATTACCCGAGGTTAGAAAGACGGACGATTCCTCTGCTTCTTCAATCCCCAGCTCGTCTTCAGGTTGATTCTGTATGACTTCTACGAGATTCACCAAGCTTGCAGCGGCGGTCACCTATTCAACAACCATGTCAGAGCCAATGTTTTCTAAAATGAAGATGGGTATAAAACACTTTCGTCTAAATTTTAGACACTTATTGTAAACATTGTCGTTGAGTACGTTATCTCGTATACACTACTACACCCCAGTACATTCCCTTTGAATGCCAACGATGAATAAGATAACGTACAATTAAACTTGCCCAATTGACCACCTCTATAAGACGACCATCTGATCGTATCTACTGCTTTATAAAAGTAAGAATTGATCCGACCACTCGCGACTACTACTAGCCAGGTCCGCACATGGTCCACTTTCTGCCAATGGCGACCGTATCATCAAGCGTGTGGCGTGAGAAATCTTGACACAATCGGCCAATTTGTCACTGATATCGACAGCATTACACTCACAATGTAAATTGGCACAGTCTCTGTCACTTTTGATCAATGAGTAGTCTTCTGTATACGAGTAGAAAGTTTCCTGTGCTTACCGTGCTTTTTGTATAATAATACAACTTGTACGTCAGAAGGCTTTTGTTCCTTAGTCCCCTGGGTGGCCGTAGTAGACAAGTTTGACTTTATTGTGTATCATATTCTAACCTGCGAATCAGTCGACACCTCCTCCTGTACCACCGTGGCCTGGCTTAGTGCATTGGCGAGGATGTTGACCGAAGACACGCTCTGTACCTTGAACTCTGACAGAGACGAGATGATGGAAGAACGAACCTGTGAGGGTAGAAGATCGCAGGAGTTTCTGTAAGGTAAGCAATGCCAGGATAATATAGAAGGAATGGCATGGATGCACTAGAAGGATGTAGAGGGAAGCCCAAAATCAAAATGGATGTAGAACGGTCGCTTGAGACCTATGTCCTGCATGGGGCCAAGTATGTATTATCAAGTAATAGATAAGTATATGTAACGCTAGATGTAGTAGCATTCTACAGCTGGTAGATAACGACAAGAAGCCATCCACTACATTCAAAGTAAAGCATAAGGGCACACTCATTTGGGGATGACATCTGCGCGCACATTAGTTTTTGCCTGTTCTACGATGCTCTGGCCGGGGTGCTTACTCCAATGTCCATGGGAGCCGACAGTAACTACGAAGGCACCCAGGCTCCATGGAACTCAAAAATACAGTAGAGTACCGACTCATAAATGTCGAAAACGGCCAGCATGTACTGGCCTGTCGTAAAAGTTGCTATGTACTACAACTTCAAATTCACTATACCAGCTTTGTATTCCTGTGTATGTGGTGTAGCAGCATTTTGCAGGGATTTTCACGGTATTCGCGAGCGCGTACTAGTTTAAGGGTCTTCAGAGGATGTCATCCACAAAATTAATTCAGTGTGGCTTAACTCCATTATGCATATATGTAATGCTCATTAGAGGTTTAGGAAATATATAAATGGATTAATAAGCGCAGAGATAAACCTGTGTGGCGTTTTGTTTGTACTGCAGCCGGTTCGTAGCGTTTTCTGCATCAGCGTTCAGAACGGAGTTGACACTGTTGGAGATCTGTACTGCCGCCTGAAAGTTCCCGCCCTGCACCAGTTTACCCAGGGTACTGTTCGCGCCAACAGTTAGCTGGGTGGCGACACTGGATTTCTCTTCTGCAGGAAGGGGAAATACCTGGAAAACAGACATTCTGAGAGTAACAATCATCAATCATACACAATACATCCATAGAAATAAGAAGTCATAGTGAGGTATTAATGTTTTAGATATTTAGATAGCAAAGCAAAATTCATATTCCCCATGCAACCCTATAAGCCGTTTTCCATCTGTTCTTACATGTACATTGTGCAGCTGTTAAAAAGCGAGAAGACGTTTAACATGTACGTATTAGTATATTATGGTTATACTAAGATATACCAGACTTGTATCATTGTATTTAGCTTGTAATGGCATCTCTTGGCCTTGGCATTGCTGTAGAATTGCTGCTGTATTGTAATGGTATATATGTACACTTTCATTCCTTACAGCATTCTATTGGAATACAGTCGACTAACCTACAGTCGTCTAAGAACTATTCAGCACAATGTATGAAAATAAACTTTTTTAATCCATTCATTTTATCCAGAGAGTATCAAACGAAAAAAAATATGCATCATTAAAAAAAAATCGTTAGAAAGGTTGAAATAGGATCGCTGATGATTTCATACCTTGACCACAAGGCTGACACTAGTTTGAGCTCCAAGTACATCTGATGCCCTCACCACGATGGTGACGTTGTAGTCACGTGACGGCAGACCAACCGGGAAAAGTCTTGGTAGGGTAGACGGCACCTGATGACGTCAAACAGTTATTCAGACATTTTGCTGTTCTGTTTAAATCGTATTTTTGTACAATGGAGATGGCTAGATCGAGTAATCAGTATTTTGTTACACATTCGTTCACTCAAAAGAAGGTACTACAGATTGTCTGTATGCTAAGCCTGTCACACTTAGAAGAAAAGAAAGGAAGGTCTCCTGTGCCCTTATGCAGAGCGTAGGGTGGTGCCCATATCCATTTCTGTAGCCCTTGGACAACATACAGTTTTTTTATTTTTTTTATTTATTTATTTCGATGCACTACAGCAGGGGGCTAGTCCGCTAGTAGTGTTGTGTGTTTGACCTTCCCACACCCTTTCTCATATGTGCTGAGTGCTAAGCAGAGAAAAAAGTGTGTACCATTTTAAAAGTCTGTGGTATGACCCGGCCGAGGTTTGACCTCCCGGTTACAAAGCGATCACTCTACCAATTAAGCTATTGCACCGGTATGTCACACTTAGCCTAGCCGAATATGGCCTCAAGAAAACTGAACCATTGTTAGGAGTAGGTTGGCTGTGGTTGGCTGGAATTCAGCGAGGATGCCAGCTGCTCGGATGTGGACGGGAGGTTCTGCCATGTTTGGCTGATGGTTGGCCGGTGTTTGGGACTAGGTCACCCGTGTTCGTGGGTCAAATTTAACTCGTTTCAATTCGTTTAGAAAGTTAGCCGTGGCCTAACGTTGTCCATACTGATCCAGAGCTTCAGCCGACCTTGGTGGTCAGGGCTAGATCACGGAAGATCGTGTGTATGACAAGTGCTTTTAAGCACTTGTCATACACAGAGACGTGAGTAACAATGTAAGACCTTATACGCACCAATCCACTGTAGAACAAGGACAGATCATCATCCTGCGCGGTAGAGTTGATGGCGACAAGTCTCTGTCCTCCTGTGCTGTAGAAGAACGCGAACGTCATGGGAAGGTCGCTGTCTGCAAATCCTGATCGGGAAATAATTGTATCGAAGTAATCCTGGTTACTTCAGGTAAACTAGAGTTCCACGATCTCATACCTTCGCCAAATGATGTTAGCTTTTATGAATAACTTATATACAATGTATTAATCCCCCTAATTATGCAAATAGGATCCGCAATTGCATGAATTATATCTGTTGATCATAATCTCCACCAACAGTCTTATTTTAACAAAGAATGCCATTATAGCATTTCCTCATATATTATGCAAATGAGGTCCTTATTTGAATAAGTTATGTTAAATTATGTTCACCTTCACTAAACTTTAAACACCCCAAGTATAAAATTCCAGGCAGTTACCACTATGCAATTATAACATTTTCTCATTAATTACTAGTATGCAAATTAAGTCTTCATTTGCATAATCGATATCTGCCTGTGTTTCTCTCGTTGTTAATATCATATGTCGCAAGCTTGAACTTCCTATCATGGAATGCAGCTGATTAATAGAATTTCCTCATTAATTATGCAAATTACATCCATATTTGCATAATTGTAATATCATTATGTCAAGCATCACTCAAGCTACCTACATACCAAAAATCATGATGATCCATCCATCGGTTCTTGAGTTATCCTCCTTTAAACATTTGTCCTTTAAACCCCCCTGCAGTTCTAGAGCAAGCAACTAGGGGGCCCAAACTCACGTCACTTCTTCCCCAGCACAAGAGCTACCTGCCATCTAAATTTCGTCACCCTAGCATGTCTGGATCATGAGATATCAAAACCGGAAGTTCAGCTGCAGTACCATGACAAGCCGCCAGGGGGCCCAAAATCTAATCATTTCGAGCTCTCATCAAGACCTACCCACCTACCAAATATCAAGATAATCCATCTAAGCTTTCTCGAGTTATGCTGTTGACACACAGACACACAGACAGACACACGGCCAGGAAAACATAACCTTCTCCAATTCTTGGCGAAGGTAATAAGGGGAGTATTAAATAAATGGAAACTGTTCTCTCTGTGTGTGTGTGTGTGTGTGTGTGTGTGTGTGTGTGTGTGTGTGTGTGCGTATGTATGTATGTATGTATGTATGTATGTATATATGTATGTTTGTGCACGTTTCCGCAAGTTGTAATGTACATGATTGGGTTTAGTTCGTTCCAGTGGTTGAAAGTTATTAAAAATTTCTACATCTGGCCAGCATGCACTTGTTTTATAAAGATGCTAAACGTTACCTGGTCTTTTGAACAACTGTTGTGCAATATATAGGAGATTCCGTAAGCCATCAATTTAGTACACGAAGTGTACCAAATAGCAAATGGAACGTTTTGTTCAAAAACGATTTCCAACCCCTCGTATGTGGTGACTTGAAGACACCATGGCGAATGAAAAGAGCATCAAAAAATGACATTTCCACAAGATTTATATTTCGTGGAGGTTTGGGTCTCCCGAATTATTAACTCTCCTGCGTTTGGCTTAAATTTGCTGTTTAATACATGTAAGGAAATGTAAGATTACAGTCGCTATCATTGTATGCCAAAGATTCTATCTTATGATTATGTCAACTTTTCTACTAATACGTAAAAGAAACCATAGACATATCATCTGTTGTTAGAAATAAATTTCGTCAGCTTCCAACAATGTGCATAAAACAGTAGATAAGCTGGGAGAGTTATACCTGTGCATTGGACGGAAAATTCATCAACCATCGCGACACCGGTCTCCGGACTAACTGTACAGACTCCTGCTGTGGGCGGGGTGTTCGGTTCAAACCGGTACTCGGCAAACCTTGAAACACCCCCTGCTCTCCTCACGTCAACCCTCAAGACATAGGCTCCTGGTTTCTGAGGAAAACAGAACATATCATTGTGAGGCCACACCAAGTAAATTTTATGGATGACGTCCTTTGGAGACCCTAAATCTAATGCGAGAGGGCGAAAAAAAAAACAAGAAGGGCCCTAAAAAACAAGATGCCTAGATTAGCAATATACTAAGAGACGACAAATGTTAGGACACAAATTGAATGAGGTGACACAGTGTAACAAGCAAGAAGTCTTTTATTCATCATCAAAACGGCAATAAATCAGGTGGAACAGTGGACAGTGAAAATTTTTCTGTTATTGACAGGATGGTCCTGTCAATAGTGCAAATTTTCTGTTATTGACAGGATGGTCCTGTCAATAGACACTTTCTTCGCGTTACGGGTTTCACATCAATCTGGTGATTTGCGACACTGTCGTGACTCTTTGGTCATAGTTACAGGAAGTGGAATTTCTTGGGGTTTTTTCTAGGAACAGGCCCAAATTCAATGCGCGCGCGGACGTCATCCATGAAATTTACTTGGTGTGGCCTGATAAATATAGTCGTAAAGGAAGGTTAAATAAGAAAGAACTAGAATATTAAATGTTAAAATTGTTGTAAAATAATAAGGAAATAAATGGAAATCTTACTGTAAAGATATTGGTTTGAACAACGAGGTCTGGTAAAGAGTTCCCAGTAGTTGTGTCTGTCTCCCAGTTGACAATCGACCGTCTGTACCCAGGCGGTGCTTGTTGTAAGGTCCAGTTGTAGACTAGCTGTTCATGCTGCAGACAGTTCTCACACACGGCCTGCAGGGCCAGCCGCTTGGACGGGTTGATGCGGTTGTTGCAGTTGCTGTTACATCTAGTGAGGATGCACAAAACGTCTTTTAGGGCCCGCAATGTTGTGTTGTTTTTAGGTGTTTTTTTTTTTAGATTTCGGCTAAATAAGGTTTAGCGATGCAACGGGGGTTTCTCAATGACCCACCCACGTAGACAACTTGCAAATGCGTTAAGGTTTTTTTTTTAATTGAGGGTTTGAAATTCAGGTGTCAGATGGAAACGTTTATAGCCTTAGGCCACACTTACTTAATTTTATGGATGACATCCTCTGAAGGCCCTCAAAGTAGTGCGCGCGGGCGAATAAAAAAACATTCCGGCCAAAAAAATGCTACTAAACCACAGGAATACAAATCTGTTATTGTGAATTTCCAGCAGTACAAAGCGACGTATACGACAAGGCGGCACATGCTGGCTTGCGCTTTTTGCGGAATTTATGAATTGGCACTGTACGTATGTACTGAGACCTTGAGTCGTGGAGCTTTGGTGGGTATTGTCGCTAACTACCATGGAGTACCAGTAACTACCATGGAGTACCAGTCGAGCCAGGCCGACGTGATCTTTTTTTTTAGAACAGGCGTTAATCAATGCGCGCTCGGATGTCATCCATAAAATTAAGTCGGTGTGGCCTTACCAGCGGTAGATTTCCTTGGGTCGGTCGGGAAACCGGAAATAGTTATAACCAGCTCCTAGTGAAAAAGTGTCGCTACTTAAGCCCGCAGCGAACTTGAAGTTACGCGGGAAAGTTTGGTCGACTGCATTTTTTCTATAATGGGTAAAATGGCCATGTCAAAGAGACATTTTATTTACTGAACTATGGAAATCAAACTCCACTAACTCTACTATACTTATCCATCCAATGAACAGTCTATTCTTAAGCCTTGCTCTGCTGGTCATTACATGTGTATGTTGTGCTGGGAATTTCAGAAATACGAGTACTGCTTCTGTTTTACTAGTATATATTGTTACTAAGAAGTCCTGGAAACATATGTATTACATAAATAAGAAAAAAAGTCGAACCTTCCCCCAAAATGTTCGGCAGAATACTGTGGACACGAATATGCATCCCGACATATGTTGAGAGCACAAATGGCATGATATAACAGGGCTCGAAATACTGGGTGCATGAGCACCTTAGTGCAACCAACATTTGAGCTGTGCACTCACATATTGTCGTTTATGTATGTAAAGATATGAAATTTATACTAGTATACAGCACATCATTTAGTCACTTTTCAGAGACAGACAAAATGCCAATAGGCCAAAGCTTTGTTGGAGTGTTTTTATGGAATTATATTTGAAATTTTATAAATATTATATTTTACTTTTTACTTCCAATAGCAGAGATTGGTCATGCGACCTAACTTGCATTAATATCTGTTCTCTATGGGACCCTAATAATGTCACATTGAGATTTTATTTCATAAAGTGCACCCGACATTTCTTTACATCCAACTTTTTAGGTGGGTGACCCGTTTCAATTAATAAAAAAAATAATAAATTACAAACCCTGTTTAAAACAGCTTCCGCAAATCAATGCCTCTAGATATACCTTACAGAAATAGTGGGGTCCTCAGCTCCTAGATGTATGGCCTGTGCGTACACTCCGGAAACCCGTCCGATGAAACTCACATCTACCGTGAAGGTGATGGAGTCGTTCGGTCGAAATATCCCGGATGGGATGACGTAGACAGCCTCGGTGCTGACGTTGAACACCTCGTTACAGGTCGACGCTGTAAGACAGGAGTTCTGTTTAGGTCTCATACATGTACGCCAGTTACTTTTTATGCCATTTTCTATTAAAAAACAACATTATGACTGCAAACCGAATGGAATAATTTTCATAGATTTTTTTCGGAGATTTTATTGCTTTTTAGAACAAGCACATTTATCATGCTTGCACATAACATCGCCCCAAATCTAACGGAGAGAACGATACTGATGTCATATATAACTGAAGTTAGTCAAGAAAAACGACAAAAAAACGTATTCGTTTGACATTCCCTAGGATGGCAAAACACTCCGACCTTATTCTGTCAGTAATAAACAAGCTTTTATGTCAAATCTTTTTATATCTGGTAGGATCAATTATGCTTGACCTAAACATGTGTTTTGGGGTCCAATCATATTTTGGACCGGACTCTTCTATACAATAAATGAGTAATTACGGACTGAGACCTGTAAAATATTTGTTACATTTTATGTGGTGTATGGGAGAGAGTGAGTGAGAGAGTGAGTGATGTGGTGGTATTGTGGGTCAATAATTACTCTATAAAACTAATCCCTAGGTAATTTCCTTGTGTTCTCTGTGTGCATGTAGCATATTTTTGAGGTACCTTCTTCTATCATGCAGGTCCAGCTGAAGTTGAATGACCTTGAGTCCTCGACGATATTGTCCGGATCGTAAGATACAGAAGCGTCTAACGTTATAGCTGATCCAAACCTGACACTTCTCGCCGATCCTCCTGCAATCTGTGCCTCTATCGGGGAGGAGATGATCCTCACCCACCTTTCAAGAGTTCTGTTCAGTGTAAGCCCTGACTCCTTCTCCAAAACTGTAACCATGACTTTCAGCATGTTCAGCCCCAGCGGGAGAAAATTCTTCGGAACTGCAACTTCATGTGCGGAAGTCCTAAGCTTTTTTGTGGTGTTTAGCAGTTTGATATCGCTTCCCTCCACGCTCCAAACTGTCCACGCGAAGGAAACTGAATATTCAACATTACAGTTAATGTTTGTTTCGGCTCGGAGGAAAAAACCCACCCTACGTAAGATCGTTACGGCTGAGGCTGGCGTTTCAGCTCCACCTTGTACGGTAAAGTCTGGGTAGCACTGGGCACATCTGTAGGAACCTTCAGTGTTGAAGCACAGTTCGTCCCGTGAACACGTGTGCGAACCATTAGAACACTCGTCTATGTCTGCATAGAACGTGATATAACATTTTCAAAGTGAATACACATTGTTTATGTATACTTCAGGAGTTGTTAACATATACATAACGTTTTTAATAAAATGGATAAAACGATTTTTACCGACTGTCACCTTCCTCAGAACAATTCTGACTGGTTCACATTGCACAACACAGGTGTCGATGCTTATAAATGCATTTCCAAATGCAACGTATTTAGTAATACATATATAGACGGTTATGGGGAATGGTATCTACAGTGCGATCCCAAGCGTACAGATGTGCATTCTACTCGTATACATAATTGTTGTCTATTAAAATCAAGTCTAAAATTGCCCTGAGGAAGGTGACAGACCGTCACCGAAACGTCGGCTGAATAAAACAATTAGTTGCGTAAAAAAGCCTTTTTTTTATTTACCGACTTACCGAGCTGATGAAGTTCATAACGATTTGCACCACAAATTGAACATGGAAGTTAAGAAATCACACAAACTTAGACACAAAAGCCTACCTCGACACACGACTGTACCGTCACCGCTGTATCCATGTCGGCATGTACACTGCAGTTCTCCCTCTGGACTGATCACACAGATGGAGTGATTCGCACACGCTACTCCAGAACAGAGCCCACCTTCAGCTGTAGAAGATCCCCAACAGTTACTAACATACATATTCACTTTATCGAGGTTAGCTACGTCCAAATCGACGTGCAATTCCATCTCTGTGTTGGTAGTTAAATGATTAAAGTTCAAACGTTTGACCAAACACAAGACATTGTTTTCATCTAGAGCTTTGACCAGTCACTCTGATATTATTCTTCAATAGATTGACGCAGTGAGACTGTACTATATACCTAGTCCTAGTGTTGACGTCAAACTTCAGAGAAGTCACGAGAAAAGTCCCCAAGGTGATTACTCTAAAGCGTTAGGTGAGAACATTCTCTTGTGTTGGATCAAACGTTTAAACTTTAAATTGTATTCCAAATTTCGTATACAGTGGCGCTCGGTTGTCAACGGACAACATTCACCAGATTAAACATTTTCCTAACATGATGGTAAGTTGGGAACGTTAAAATATTGCCAGATATCTTTAGATAACTCAAGGTAGCTTCGCTGATGATACCTGCGCATGTTCTATATCAACGTATGCCTTATGTTCTAACCGGTTCTGTATGGACGTGTTCGATTGTTAAATAAAAATGCCCATCGGAACTTAGAAACTGTTCATACATTTTTGATGGATAAAAATCCAAAACAAACCAAGTAAACTACATAACTTTTAATGCATAACAGATAGATACATTCAAAGAAGCTGAAGCATTTAAGTTGAACATGCGTTTAATAGGAAGTTGTAAGACACAGAAGACTACACCAATCATGGCCTCAACCCCATAGTCTGTGAGATCCAAGAACTGCATCACCAGTGCACATCGCTCGTTGATGACGTCTCTAACGCTCACCAGATGTTAATATCGTTGCTGTGCATGCCGCATTAGTTAGGAAGACCTTAACCCCTTCTGTGTCACCCTTAGGCCATGTTGATTTGATTATATGGATGACATCCCCTGGGAACCCCAAAACTGATGCGCGCGTGCGAATAAAAAAAAAGTTTTACAAAAAAAAAAAGTTGCTTTCACTATGAAATCTACGTGGTCATGAAGGTTGAACAAATGGCTCAGAATATGTTATGGCGAATAATCTACTCTTCGAATTCATTTCTTTACATTTTTGTCTTTTTTCCTTTAATTTTGGCATTCTACGACATTGGTATCGTTTCTAAATGTTTTCCTTGCAACTTATGGTATATTTTTGCTCCTTTAGCAACTGTTTTGCACGATTTACAGTATGGTTGAAAACTTTTTTTTTTGGAAATGGCCGAAAATTCATGCGCGCGCGGATGTCATTCATATAATCAAATTAACATGGCCTTACACATGTTAATCTTACCCCCTCCCAGGCTCAGTTGGCTCACGGTGTGGCCTGCTACGACTAAGAGGGATTCCGCAAGTGCCGAAGCCATATTTGCGTGCACGGCCGTCTCGTTTGGACGAGCCCCGATGAACTGAACACTGAAAATCACCACAACGGACCCTGGGCTGTGGAGGGCATGAGCAAAGCATATCGTCTTTTGACACTGACAATGCATCTAATAATGATCAATTGGATTAAATTTTTTGAAACCATCTACGGTAGACAATTCCTTCCATGGTGATTGAATACATGCAACGAAATTGAGTGTTACATTGTTTAAAACAGCTTTACGAAGTTAAGTTTATGTCTTTTACCAGTTACATTTATTACATCTATCCACACACCTGATATCATGTACTATAACACTATGGAACGCTGCATTCGCCGCAAAGGCTTTGGATACCTAAAACAAAGCAAAGAAATGGAAATAGATTAGAACTAAGTAAATAGCACTGTACCTACTGGCATTTGCAGGAAAAACAAAGGTAGCACGTTTAAAAATGCAGTTAGTGTGAGGAAGTATTGTATTTTATTGGTGAACTTCCTCCTGTTTCAGTAGAAGTTCCCTAGTCTCCACCAGCTCTGCAGACTTCTTTTGCAGGCTGTTCAATAAATCGTAGAAATCGGCCTAAAAAGGGTATTAATTGGTGAGAGAAGGTAGCCTGCCATCGACGACCGGCCGATTTCTACGAATTATTTAGCCTACAAAAGAAGTCTGGTGGAGACTAGAAGTTCCCTGTGACTTACTGATTGAGTCGTGTCGTTCACCAGTTCTTGGTAGGCCATGGAAGCAGGGTTTCTGTACTCCTCGTTCCACGGGATCCCAACAACGACGGTAAAGCGAACGGGGTAGATTGTATCTAGGTGATTTTACAGTGGAAGATAAAACAGTAAGTATAAATATGGTTATGTAAACGATAGGTGTTTGAAAAGTTTTTCATTTTGAAGCACATCTGACCAACAACAAATACATCACCATCAAGATCAAATTACATCAATACGTCAAGCAGTAGGACGCAAACCAACCTAGAGTATATACTTAAAAGAAGTTACAAGGATGAATCATGACGAATCCATGCCTCCAAGGCCTTAATTACCAGAAAAACAACATACCTGGAGCTCCACAAAGATGTGAATAATTACCGCCAAAACATGTAAAAGATAAAACTTTCATGACACCTAAATATATTATCCCAAATCACTGCAAACATAGTGGCATAGAAAGGACTTATGATCATAATTAGAGACACCACAAATGTCGAGAAGTTTGTTATCACATTGGAGGCTCTGCTTTGGAAAATATTAGTGTTTTACACAAACATAGGATTTCTAAACAGGTATTAGCAGTAGACATCACTCATTTTCAATAAGTACATGCCTAAATATTCTTAAAACATTTGCAAGCTATCACGAAAGGAGATGCAATCATCTGTTATATGTACGTTCTCTCACAAAGAATGACGTTCTGGGACTAACCTGTTATAAGTGTAGTCGGTGGAGGCAAAGTTAGTGTTGTTGCTGTAAGGTTAAAATAGAGAGTCATAAATCCATGTGCATAAGCTACGACAGCACATAGGAAGATGAATTGGATGCATTTTATGCATTCTTAAAAGTCTTAAAGTAGAAGACATATTTCATTGCTACCATTATAACGTCTTGTTTTGGTAACCAGCATATTAATTACCTTGTACTTCACATGTAAAGCCAAGCTGGTCTGTGCAGCTACGGTCATTCCAACTGTGTCTCCAATACTGGACGCAATCCTCACTACCTCCACCGTTTGGCTCGCCTGGGTACCAGTCAGTGAACCCTGTCGATGTCAGACGTGTTCCGTCCTCCCACACAAACTGGCCCTCAGTGCCCTCGTCACTTAACCCAAACCACTTGTGGTCGGTTGATAGAGTCTTCATGAAACTGCTAATCTCCGAGTTCGTGATCATTGCCAGATTTCCACCGTTGTCTCTGCAGACTTGCTTTGCTTGACTGTATGTCAATGTTTCGGTGAAAACTTTGTAACATTTTCCATGGAACACTGCCCACCCCGTGGCACACTCTGTGACAGAAAAGTGAGGCGATTGATTGTATTAATTCTATTTACAATTTACTACTGGTACATTGAGTTACGCAAAATATTCACTCATATTGAAGGTGCAAACGTGAAATGAGAAGTACAGTTTTACGAAACTTTGGATACAAAATAAAGACAGATCTTCTAAGACTCACCTGTACCAGACACTGTCGTTGAAATTGAGGTGGAACTCGTCGTTGCCGCTGTTGATGCTGCAAGAAAAAAAAGAGTAGCCAGTTGGATATCAGGAAATAGTCACGTGCCATTTTAACGCAACCCGTCAAGTTGAAAATTAGGCCAACAAGACCTCTAGAAAGAATGCAAAACCAAGCTGCCAGTATCTGTACGAAGACTAACTAAAGTTTATAAGGAAAATAACTCACCAACAGTAGATGAGGCTGTTGTTGGTGTTGTTGTTGTTGCTGTTGTTTTCACCCCATCTGTTCAAACAACAGAGATTTTTTTCCACATTAATAAGGCAGGAAAAGCGGATTGTCCGACAGCGGACCTAAAGACAGATGAATTGCGTTCAGACTATGCATGATGTACAAAACGACTAACAGGCTACTATACCGTCTATTTGATACCAGTTCAAAGAACAATGGAAAGCCATTACTACAATCATCGGGATCAAAAAAGTCACATTTTACGTGTTGTACACCCGGAATAAGACGTAAGAGCGCCATTAGGTGTAATGGGGGCCTTACTGGACCATAGAATTTACATCGTTTTGACACGGGAATGACGCTCAACATGAAAGTAAGTATTGAAATTGAACCATATTCACCTGTGCTAGGCACACTCGTGGGAATCGAGCTCGGACTCGGTATTGCTGCTGTTAAGAGTCGATTATGACGTAATGATTATATATGAAAAAACCTGATGACAATTTCACACTCGCAACAAACAAACAAACAAACAAAATAAACTGCAAAGTTATAAAGTACACTCACCTGTGATAGACACACTTGTCGGACTTGCTGTTGCTGCTGTGAAGGGTCGATTGCGATGTCGTGGTTATGTATGAAAAATATGATGCAAATTTTACACTCGCAACAAACAAACAAACAAAATAAACTAGAAAGTTATAAAGTACACTCACCTGTGATAGACACACTTCTCGGTGTTGCTGCTGTGAAGGGTCGATTACGATGTCGTGGGTATGCATGAAAAATATGATGCAAATTTTACACTCTCAACAAACAACCAAACGTATAAACAAGGAATTTAGCAATCGGCCACACTCACCTGCGATAGACACACTGGGAATCGAAGTAGATGTTGCTGTTGTTGAGATTGCAACGAAAATGTATTATTTAGTTTAGACAGGACAGGCCATTGTGCACATTCTATTAACAAAACATTAACACAAGATTTCGACATACAAGAATTTCCTTTTTGATGAATACAGACAGGCAAAAAAATTACCATATTTCTCATCATTCAAAAGTTTTTTACTGAATATTTAGAGAACAATAACAATGAGATATCCGGTGTCGAGCACCTATCAGATTGCAGTACATTATTAGCAGCTAGATGTTGATAATATACAAACCCAAAGAGGAATACAATAACAGATAAATAAAATAACTCTTGTATCCCTTTTCGTTACGTGCAAGAACAGTAGATTTAAAAGTTTTCTGTCGACGTTTTCCTTGTTGCTACCCATATCATAGCCTTATGCTATTACTTAGGTAACCTGCTACCTGCTGTCAGAACTGTAGATGTTGCTTGTGATGCTGCAGTTGATGATATTACATTTGTTGGAGTCACTGAAAGCAAAGCCAAAAGATGAAACGTGACAACCGAATTCCACCTAAATTTAACATTTACTGATGCCGCATATCTTTTCTTGATAAACCATTCATCATCCATCATCATCATCTTCCCATCAAAGCAAAATAGACATCAACAAACTTATTTACGGCCTTATTTACAGCAATAAGATTATCCAAATAAGATTAAAGGTTAAAAAAAGAAAACTCACCGACAGTAGACGTAGTTGTTGTTCTTATTGTTGTTGTTTTTACTTTATCTATCAACAGAAAAATTGTTTTACATAAAAAAAATAAATCAATAATATTTGATGTACTTTGGTGTTAAGACCTACATTCCACGCCAACCAAAGACAGAAGAAAAGCGTCCAGACTATAGAAGAACGCACCACAATAGGTCCCGTTGACGTTTTCCCCACATCTGCATAAGAAGCCGGACGGAACAGTCTCGACACACGTGCCGTTGTTGATACATGGGTTCGGAGAACACGGTCTCGTTACTACGGCAAAAGTAATTTAAGTGTGACAAGCAGTGATTAAGCGAGTTTTAAGTTGCCATATTTATCAACAGTAATTGTTCTTTGTCTTTCAGCATTTTCTTGCAACATCTCCTCTTCAAAGCCCGCAACACCTATCTTAAAGCACAGGCAAACAATTACATTTGTCAGGCAACAGCGTTTGTCATTAGTACGCTGTTATTTTAAATAACCGTACTAAAAAGGCGGAGAAAAATATTACATAAAAAAGGAAACAGACGAATAATTTGGTACAATATGGATGAAAAAGAGTAAATAGATACATAGTGACTCATAATGATCATACTTACTTCTTTCGCAGATGTAATACTCTGTATCATTGCAATTCACAGACACCAGCTGATTTGGGGGATCGTCATCATTGCTCGTCAGTTTCGCGCAGTCCCAACTCTCACCGTTGCTGCTGGGAACCGGTTCCCATCCCGGCGGACTGCCATCGTCCCAGACGAATTCCCCCTCCTCTTCAAGATCTGTAACACCTATCCAGATGTTGAAACTACTGCCAGACGAGTTTCTCAGGTTGACGAGAAATTCCCGCGTTCCGGAGTCTTTCACGATCGGCAGGAGTGCGCTTTCGCCGGCACAAACGGCCTTGGCGTCGGCGTAAGTCTTGGAGTCCTCATCGTAAACTCGGAAGTAGTTAGTACCGTAACGCGTCCATTCGTTATCTGAAAACACAAACTGCTTCAAACATTTGGGCATTGATTAAGGAGCCAAGTAGTCGTGTGCGTGCCGGAGACTTTAAAACATTAGAAAGAAGCAAAATCATTTAATTAAGGTCCTTTGTCATAAAATATATAACACAGATTATAGCATATAGCACAGCAATGCTTTGCAAGAACCAATGGAAGTTTATTGGTTTGCTTAAACAAGCGTATTCTTCTCAATGTTCTGGAAAGAGGGCATTGAAATAAATATATACTTTCCTGTGTATCTTGTTCCTCCTTTTAGAAAATTCAGAATCATAAATTCATAAAAAGGATCCTCAACAAGAAGCTTTTGAAGCAGCCAGAAAACTGAGGTATGTTAGTGAAAAGTCAAATTGATCACATACCACATCGAGGAATAACGCATTCTTCATATCTCACATCAGGGTCCTCCGTATAACACCAAAGGTAACTTGTACCATCCGGGTTTCTGCAGTAGTTTTCCACCAGGCCAGCGCTCGGATATAGTCCAGGAGAACCGTGCGTGTGAGGAGTTTCTCTGGCCCAGTACTGGCAAGCCCGTCCCGATTTGGTGAAGCTTACAGTGCCCCTGTAGCTGGCCCCGTCACCCTCGTAGCATTCATCTACAACTGCAGTAAACGACCAACATTACAACCTTTTAAATCCATTTCCTTAAATTTTGTTAAGGCATATTCAGGATTTTTGGGCAGGAAATGTTATGCAACTGTACAACCTTGCATAGAAGACAATTTTGCCGGTTCCTTATTTCAATGTAATGAAACAGTTTGAGATATCTAAACTTACAGCAAGTTGAAATATCGCAGTATTCCCGGGTTACATCTGGGTTTGTTGTGTAGCACCAAGGTCGCGATGCTCCATCCGGGTTCCTGCAATAGTTCTCGTGCAGTCCCGCGAGAGGATACGAGACAGTGGTGTTGTGTACGTGCGGTGATTGGCTGCCCCAGCGTTGGCATGTCAGGCCAGACTGTGTTGTATTTACAGTTCCACGGTAGGTAGAGCCGTCACCGTACATGCACAATGTTGGATACACTGTGGATCATGAGTAAAAATATTTGCATGCATCACATATCGATAGAACACCATAAGTCAATGCGACATAAAGCAAAGCTCAACTTACAGACCACGTTAAAAGTAGGTACTAGTATTTCAAGCAAAAAGACTCCTTTACTATATTTCTTACAAAATTCCCCAGATTTAATTTACATTCACAAAATTTGATTTTTCTTTTCATCACTGTTATACTGTGCAGACTTAGCATTATTTACCCAACTCAGCATTTTGCAATCAGCCCTGCCATTCTATTGGTATTACAGTTGACGATTAGTAATTTTGTAAACGGAAAACTCACCAATATGGTCTTCACCAACACTTCCACCTGTTCCATTAACTGTAATCGAAGGTAGACACAAGTTACTATGTAGAGTCTGTAGTATGTAATGAGTCGCCTAGTGAATAAACATTGACATCAAGAACATAATCGACAGGTCCACGACAAGTGCTATAGTAAATAAACACCAAAATTAAAGGAAAAAATGATTGAATAATAAACTATAACCGTCTTGTTCCCATCACATACCACATCGGGGAATGGCACATTCTTCGTATCTCTGACTTGGGTCCTGTGTGTAACACCAGAGGTAAGTGTCGCCATTGGGGTGTCTACAGTAGTTCTCTACCAAGTCGTCATCGGGGTAGTAATCATTATTCACTGTGTGTGAGTGAGGCGTCTGACTGTCCCAACGCTGGCAAGCTCGGCCCGATTTGGAGAAGTCCACAGTACCCCGGTAATTACTCGCTCCATTAATGTCGTAGCATTCATCGACTTCGACTGTGGTGCATGAAAAAAAGAAATCTGATAATTCAAACTTACAGAAATTATGCAGTTTCCGTATATCTAAATTCTACCAATAGACCTCTTAATCTTGCTAGCACTAAGTTAAATTCTCAAGATACACAGTTCAGCCTGTCAAAGCAATACTTCCGTGCCAAGACGTTAAAAGTAACAAGAGTTTTGTCATCATGAACTTCATGAAAAGGTAATTTTTGTGCTTACAGCAAGAAGAAACTTTGCAAAAGTCTCTCGTCACATCCGGGTCCGTGGTGTAACACCAAGGTAGCGACGATCCATCCGGGTTCCTGCAGTAGTTCTCGTCGAGTCCCGCGAGAGGATACGTGGTGATGGTGTTGTGTACGTGCGGTGATTGGCTGTCCCAGCGTTGGCATGTCAGGCCAGACTGTGTGGTATGTACTGTTCCACGGTAGGTAGAGCCGTCCCCGTACATACAGAGTGTCGGATACACTAAAGGCAATTGAAAACAGGCTACTTACACACACTTCAGGTGCTAAATATAAATACTAATAAAAAGTTTCGAGTAATAGCATTTACCGTTTCTCATTATTACCTACTAGTATATGAAAGACCCCATTTATGATGTTTTGTCGACTTATACCGCTATTTTGGTTGTGAATTGATTCTTGCAATGAAATTATTACGTCCTTAATTATCTTCGTTGCTTTCGCAAAAACATTCTATAACTTTCTTTATGTATTAAATCTGTACAAGCGTTGCTTTGTGCAGGTAGCGAAGTAAGATGTACAATTAAGAAAGAGGAACTCACGTAGATGATCTGCACCGACGCTTCCACCTGTTTTATTAACTGAAAATAACAGAACAAAACATCAGCCAGCTTTGATTTAGGTCGGAATTGCCCAAAAATTTGTATTTAGTATATTAGTACGTCTTGCATTTTACCTTTAGAATTTCATAAACGCTAAAACACAATTAATGTGGAGATGAATAATTATTATACTACTAAAAATCGTAATAAGACGACGAAAACTGACACGTATAACAAATATGCCCATCGTCCTATTCGAATATAAAATTCGTATATTTCAATCGGGTGGATCATTTTAAAAAGATTTGCAGCTCTTAGCTAGTGACCACCTGGCTAACGTGATGTGGCCTCATCTTGGTGCTTTATAGGGTAATTGTCCATTTATTAATCTTGTCCCCCCTCTTGGGGGAGTTATGACTGTACCTGAACATAGAACATCAGAGTTGCAGGGTCTCGTCTCCTGTGCATCCCCTGTACAGTTTTTCCCGCCGAATTGGGGCTCGGGGTTGTCACAGCTGCGTGTGCGAGCCTGGCTGCCGGTGCCTGTCCCACAACTCAGGCTGCACTCCGCCCATACGCTCCACGCCGACCAGCCTCCGTTAATGGCACCTGTATTGAATGAGAAAGACCGTACAGTTCCAAGTGCAAATTCTCTGTGGGAAAGAAATATGGTATAAGGTCAAATTTTAATGCCCTTGCCAAAATAGATCACTGATATAGGAGGATATTACCATAATCAGGTTTTCGAGAGTTATTTACCACATTTTGCTAGTTCAATTCAAGAAGTTAAACATGGATCCAATGATAATTTTATTTCTAACATGACAGCTTACATCCCCTAGCTTTGTCTTTTGAGCAAAAGCGTAAATGTTTCTTTGAATACGGCTGGTAGCCAGTTGATGGTTGTGCCAGCTACATTTTAGTAGCAAAACAACGTACCGCAATAGGTCCCGCTGTAGTTTTCTCCACATCTGCAAAGGAAGCCGGACGGAACAGTCTCGACACACGTGCCGTTGTTGATACATGGGTTTGGAGAACACGGTCTTGTTACTATGGAAAAAAATTGATAAGTCTACATACTACTAGTCCTCACTTATTTTCAACAGCATCTATTATTCTACGAATAGCAACTCTCCTGCAACCCGTTACATCATTTTCAAGATCGTTAACACCTATCCGAATAACAAATTACACTTGTCAGGCTACAGCTTTTGTCATATTTGTGCGTTGTCATAGCATAACAGATATATTGAGATATAGGCTTAATCTTATAATAGAAATAATGATAAAATATTAACAGACATACATATGTTAAAAGCTTGCTAATCGCAAATTTTATGCAATGACGCATAATCATCAAACTTACTTCTTTCGCAGATGTAAAACTCTGTATCAGTGCAGTTTGCAGACACCAGCTTATTTGGGGGATCGTCATCATTGCTCGTCAGTTTCGCGCAGTCCCAATTCTCACCGTTGCTGCTGGGAACTGGTTCCCATCCCGGCGGACTGCCATCGTCCCAGACGAATTCCCCCTCCTCTTCAAGATCTGTAACACCTATCCAGATGTTGAAACTACTGCCAGACGAGTCTCTCAGGTTGACGAGAAAGTCCCGCGTTCCGGAGTCTTTCACGATCGGCAGGAGTGCGCCTTCGCCGGCACAAACGGCCTTGGCGTCGGCGTAAGTCTTGGACTCCTCATCGTAAACTCGGAAGTAGTTAGTACCGTAACGCGTCCATTCGTTATCTGAAAACACAGACTGCTTCAAAAATTTGGGCATTGACTAAGGAGCCAGCTAGTCGTGTGCGTACCGGAGATTTTAAAATGTTAGCAGAAGCAAAATCATTTCATTAAGGTCCTTTGTCATATAACATATTACACAGCATATAGCATATAACACAGCAATGCTGTGCAAGAACCAATACAGGTTTCCAGTTTTGCTTAAACAAGTGCAATTTTCTCAAAGTTCAAGAAAAAGGGCAATGAAGTGAATAAAGCTTTCCTATACGTCTTTTTCCTCGTTTTAGAAAATTCAGAATCGGTCGCAAAACATAGAAACAACTCTCGAAAATAAGCTTTTAAAAAAGCCAGAAAGATTAAGTGGTGTTAGTGTAAAGTCAAATTGATCACATACCACATCGAGGAATAACGCATTCTTCATATCTCACATCAGGGTCCTCCGTATAACACCAAAGGTAACTTGTACCATCCGGGTTTCTGCAGTAGTTTTCCACCAGGCCAGCGCTCGGATATAGTCCAGGAGAACCGTGCGTGTGAGGAGTTTCTCTGGCCCAGTACTGGCATGCCCGTCCCGATTTGGTGAAGCTTACAGTGCCCCTGTAGCTGGCCCCGTCACCCTCGTAGCATTCATCTACAACTGCAGTAAGGAACAACATTACAACCTTTTAAGTACATTTCCTTAAATTTTGTTAAGGCATATTCAGGATTTTTGGGCAGAAAATCTTATGCAACTGTACAACCTTGCATAGGAGACTATTTCCACGGTTCCTTATTTTCAATGTAATGAAACAGTTTGAGATATCTAAACTTACAGCAAGTTGAAATATCGCAGTATTCCCGGGTTACATCTGGGTTTGTTGTGTAGCACCAAGGTCGTGATGCTTCATCCGGGTTCCTGCAGTAGTTCTCGTGCAGTCCCGCGAGAGGATACGAGACAGTGGTGTTGTGCTCGTGCGGTGATTGGCTGTCCCAGCGTTGGCATGTCAGGCCAGACTGTGTGATATTTACAGTTCCACGGAAAGTAGAGCCGTCCCCGTACATGCACAATGTTGGATACACTGTGGGTCATAAGTAAAAATATTTGCATGCATCACATATCGATAGAACACCGTCATATGTCAATGCGACATAATGCAAAGGGCATTGACAAATCACGTTAAAAGTAGGTATTTTTAGCCAAAGGCTTCTTTACTATCTTTCGTACAAAATTCTGCCAATTTGTTTTGCAATATTTCGCAAAATTAGATTATTCTTTTCATCACTGTTGTACTTTGTGAACTTAGCATACCTTTCCGACTCAAAATTTTGAAATCAGCCCTGCCACTCTATTGGTATTAGATTTGAAAGCAGAAAACTCACCAATGTCGTCTTCACCAACACTTCCACCTGTTCCATTAACTGTATTGACGATAAACATAGGTTACTACTTAAAGTATATGACATGTAATGAGTCGCCTAGTGAATAAACATTGACATCGAGGACATAATCGAAAGGTCCATGACAAGTGCTATAGTAAATAAACACAAAAATAAAAGGAAAAAAAATGATTGAATAATAAACTATAACCGTCTTGTTCCAATCACATACCACATCGGGGAATGGCACATTCTTCGTATCTCTGACTTGGGTCCTGTGTGTAACACCAGAGGTAAGTGTCGCCATTGGGGTGTCTACAGTAGTTCTCTACCAAGTCGTCATCGGGGTAGTAATCATTATTCACTGTATGTGAGTGAGGCGTCTGACTGTCCCAACGCTGGCAAGCTCGGCCCGATTTGGAGAAGTCCACAGTACCCCGGTAATTACTCGCTCCGTCAATGTCGTAGCATTCATCGACTGCGACTTTGGTGCATGAAAAAAATTGAATAGGAGATTTCAGATTTCCGGAAAGTATGCAGTTCCCTGGTTTCTGAATTCCCAATTCTTGCTGACTTTCTGACAAATTGTTAAGACACACAGTTCGGCCACCCACAAGGAAGTAACCAAGTTTCGTCACTTTATAACTAGTATTACAAGGCTGAGAATTAGCGCACATTGCTTCGAAATTGAGAAGGGCCGTCACAAAAAGATACAAGGCGAGAAAAGAAAGTGTTCTGCTTGCAAATACAAAGTTGAAGGTTTCGTAATGATATGTCCTTGCTATATCAGAGAAAGAAAAAAAACTAATGATGTTATGTAAGAATGAAATAACGCTAACTGGGACAGGTACAGAAATTTTTGAACATGCTTTTATCATGCTCCGACCCTGTATCTGTTTAGCTAGGCTAAAATTTACATAATGCTATACGAAGGAGAAACCATGTCACAGCAATGTGAAATGTAACATTCAATTATAACATACACACATGTATTGAAGTATTATACTAGACAGTAGAAATAGTTAATGGTTACTAAGTGTTATCTGCCATACATTGTACCCGATGCGATTGTTGCGCTATAACTTGACTTGACTTGGCTTTTAAAATTCATCTAAAAGTCTTTCTTCTAAAACTTACAGCAAGTAGAAATTTTGCAAAAGTCTCTCGTTACATCCGGGTCCGTGGTGTAGCACCAGGGTAGCGACGATCCATCCGGGTTCCTGCAGAAGTTCTCGTATAGTCCCGCGAGAGGATCCGTGACATTGGTGTTGTGCTCGTGCGGTGATTGACTGTCCCAGCGTTGGCATGTCAGCCCAGACTGTGTAGTATGTACTGTTCCACGGTAGGTAGAGCCGTCCCCGTACATACAAAGTGTCGGATACACTATGGGAAATAAAAATAGTTTTTCAGACGGGGGTGGCTTTGAGGCCCGCGCCAACTTTCATATCTTAGATAGCGCCTCAACGGCTTTCACTAGAGACACCAAATTTGGTGACTTTTCCTAAGATATATCTGGGAAGAATTTCGTATTAATTAGATAATTCAATTAATTTTCATGTTGCCATGGGAACGGGTGTCTGACAGGCAGTTTGTTTAAACTTAAAATTTTCTGGGTTTTATGTTACATTACACTTCCTTTTCAACATTAATAACATACATCTGATATAATTATTTATCATTTGTATAATTAAACATTCATAAATTGTGCTAGTTTGATGACGTTATAGGTCAAAATCAGAAACTCCCCCCGTCCCAGCATGCCCAAAAACGCCCGGTCTGAATAAGGTTAAACTAAGGACGTAGAGCTGCAATGTAAGTATTAACATGAGTTGTTTTTAATACTATACTTGGGCAATGTTAAAGAATTTTGTCAAAATACGCGAATGGAGGACCTTTTTGACGATCCCTTTTTGACAGGTCATGAAAACACTGTGCATGGATTTTTCCAATTGTATGATATTGTAATTTATTCTCTTCTCCCAATTTTTCCACAACTATATATATATATATGTATAATTTGTCTTTTAATGTACTACATTTTTTCCGCTTTTTTCTATTGTGGGTGATAAAGAAAAGATGCATAATGAATAAAACAAGATAAACTTACGAAGATTATCTGCACCAAGGCTTCCTCCTGTTTTGCTCACTGAAAACAATAGAGAAAATATCAGCTACCTTAGGTAAGTAAAGAATTATCAAATGACAAGCAATTAAGCTTAAGTTAGAATCTGGTATGTAATGAATACAATGACTATATGAAAGTATATGCACCGTCGATAGTTCTTTTTCTTCTATATTTTAGTCACAAGACAAAGTGGCGCTGCACTCGAGTTGACCAACTTATTTTGCCAGCGCCACTTAACAATAGATATACATGTATAAAAAAATTCAAACATGTAAGACAAAAGTGCAAAAAGTGTGCCAACGTCCCCAACCCCACCTATGGGATTATTATTTTAATCAGAAAATGATAATCGTCTACTATATCTTTTTCAAGGAGAGATTCTCAGTCGGAAAGAGCTAGAAACGTTGGGTTTGCTGGATATAAGTTTGTGTAAGTATCGTTATTTTGGAATTGCAGCCAGCAGTAATTGAGGATGAGCCTTTCAGTAAAGGGAGAGTTTTGCATTGTCAGAAATGTTGTGTAGATCAAACAGGTGCCCACTTAAGTTTGTGAGATAGTTTCGTCTTGTTGTTAGATTGAAACAAACATATATGAAAATATATGACAAATATATGACAGATGTGACCATTGCCACGTCCGGATATGTCTAGGAGGGCCATTTCTAAACGATTTAGGGCCATTATCTAGTGTTCACCTGGCTTAAGAAATTCGACCACATCTTGATAATTTTCCCATTGACAAAAGCAGTATGAATCCTTTCTGCAGTGACCACCTGTCCAAGGAGACCAGAGTTATCGGTCTTCGTTGGCGGTCGTCTTATGGAGTTGTGACCGTACCTGAACATAGAACATCAGGGTTGCAGGCACCTGTCTCATGTGCATCTCCTGCTGTACACTCGGGGTCTGGATCTGTATCAGTAAAGTCGACACAAAAGCGAAAGCGAGTCCGGTTGCCGGTGCCCGTGCCGCAAGTCTCGCTGCACTCCGACCATGCGCTCCACAACGTCCATTCTCCCTCAATGGCAACTAAAAAAAAGCCAAGTCACAATTCCATGTGCGTGTTTGCAGCGGCGATGCATTGTGGTCTCAGGTCATATAGTTTAAGGCCCACGGCCAATATTCAGTCTGTGATCTAGGATAAGACAATTCTAATCTCCAGATTAAGACTAAGTTTGGAAAATCCCGCTACGCATTCCAGCGTGAGCACAGTGTGTTCCTGACGCTGGCTGGTAGTGAATATTAAACAGATCTTTATTAGGTGGCAATGTCGCAACCAACCGGTATCCCATTGGCTTGTTGATTACGACTTTGTTATCGATTTCGAAAGATATGCTTGATGATTTACTGATATCCAAGTAAATTACCCTACACCATGGAAATTTTTATGGGGTGGGTTTCAGCTATCCAGCAGGAAAATCTGCATATGTGTGAATTTTTTATGTACTATTTAGCAATACATCTAGAGATAACGTTTGCATGAACAATGGATATGGTTAAAAAGACGGCTTTGGTTGATTCTTATAGTATTTCTGACAGTATATACCCCACAATCAACCTTTATTACATGTTATTTTGAAAGTTCATCTACGTTGGTGGACGTCATTATGCCGTAAGTTTGAATTGTAATTTTCAACACAAGAAATTAGACTTATCCACACTTTCGACTGTACAACTCCATTCCTTGACAAACACTAGAGTTGCACAGTCAAAAAATTTCCAATTTCTTGTGTTGGAAATTATAATTTAAACTTATTCATATTCAGCTTGAATTGTTGCAAAGATCGACTTACCACTCGGTGTGATGAGACAGAAAATAGCGAGTAGAGAATGAACGCCCAGAAGCCATCTGCGTGGTGTGGACATGGTCGATGTCCAGTCTTGAAGCCAGCTGGACGGACCTAGAACTGTTAACATTACTGTTTACTTTCTTTTTAACCTCCATGAAAAATGACGGTATTGTTTTTGGGCCATGTCTGTCTGTGTGTCTGTGTTTCCGCAGCTTTGTGGTCAGCATAACTTCAGAACGCCTTTATGGATTGTGATGATATTTGGTATGCTGGTAAGTCTTAGGAGGACAAAGGCCAAGGTCAAATATGGGCCTCCTGGTGGATGACCTAGGTACTGCAGCAGAACCTCCGATTTTTGTATCTTTTGTTCTGAACATGCTATGGTCTTGACTTTTTGGTGACAGATAGTCTTCCCTGACAAGAATAAGTGGTGTGGGTTAGTCCCCCTAGCAGCTTGTTCTGGAACTGCAGGGGACTTTCTGGCGAAATCTTTGAACGCCGATAAGTCCAGATAGAACAACGTATTTTCATCGTTTTTGGTATATAGATAGAGAGGTGTACATAATTATGCAAAAACAGACTTAATTTGCATGATTGAGGAGGAGTCCTATAATTATAGTTTTGTATACAATAGTACTTTTATACAATGTCAATGTCATAGACCCCAGGGGTCGCCCATTAATATTGTGTTCTGTGGCCTTAATCGACCTTGAATTTCAGCATGAAAGTTCATCTGAGTTCGTAAATTACATTATGAAAAACTTAAACTTTTCTCCAACTCAAAATTTGATTCACCAGAAATTTTTGACTGAATCACTCAGTCTTCCTCAGCTATCTGACCCAACTGCTGTGGAAAAATTCAGTCGAAAATTTCTGGTGAGTCAAATTTTGAGTTGGAGAAAAGTTTAAGTTTTTCATAACGACCTTGAATTTCTTTTTATTCATACGACAAAACTAGACAATATCTAATACGTGTCCAAATTTCTCCTCACAAATCTAAACGGTTGCTGAGATTTCGCCAACTTTGCACTTCGGCACCGGCCATAGGGCTAGGCCCCGTACAAGAACCATACGCATTTAGTGGTCTCATTATTTGGTCAAATATGCTATTCTGGCCGTCTCTTTCTTCTTAACGGAGATCGTTAGTACATACTCTTTCATTCTGAGTTACTTGGAGTTAGTGTAAGCCTTTTTACGGCAGAAGGGGGGCCGGGAGGGGGGCAACGGGACTTCCACACTAAGTCCCATAGATAAGCGTAGCGGTCCGTCTTGGTGGCCGTTGCCATGGCAACGGGGGTCTTTCGGGTAAATTTAAAGGGAACTAACGTTACTAGTAGATAAATCATACAATTATGGCCAAATGCCCGTTGTCGGCAATTCCCGTCGTGGATTAACGAGCATGCCCCCCCCCCTTCACACGATCAGCTTTTGAAGTTACATTTTGTATTGCAGCTCGTACAATGCATCTGTTGTAGTACAATTCAATCAACTGCGTTTCGTGGATGTTTGTTATAACAATTTAGAAAATATCTAAATGACTCTTCTTTGACGAAATAAGGAGTGATATCAAATGGTGTCTATACATTTCCTGGCCTTCAGGATAAGTAACAAACCTGTGTAAAAATAGCCCTTTTGCTTCTAATATGTTCTATTAAGGCCGGAAGCAAACACGATTCGGATTCTGGATTCTGCTCTCGGATAGTGCATTTATTCTCAGTTACAATAAACAGTCACAAAACACCATGGTCAGTCAGTCCTAATAGGTCGCATACAAGCAATATTTCACTAGACAAATATGGTCTCAAATGTTGGACATTGCGTTGTGTACTTTTATAGAGACTAAGTTACAGAGTCTGACTTACTTGTTCGGTGACACAGAACAAAACACGGTTGACTCTCTCCAAACTGACGTAACTCCGGCAAGACCTCGTGAGCAACTGACTGACTCGCTTTGCTCTGTCCTGCCTTTAAAGCTATCCTAATTATGCGCATAACCGACTCTGACCTTGATTGGTAGACAATACGGCAGCCCACATATAGGTGTTAACTGGGCTTGTCTAGCCACCTCTTTGTGGTGCATATTAATACTGGCAGACGGGCAAGGTGTTTACAGAAGTACAAAGCTGTTGATATACATGTACATAATGCATTTTGGCACATAATATATTTTGACACATTATTAGGCTGGCCACCAAGCGTTACACCTGCATACCGAGAAGACTTACAAGTAAAGCTGCATTCCTCAGAAAGATGTGTCGAGACAATACCTCACCAGACCCTTCCATTATCGGATAAAATAACACAAGAGAGAGTGAATGAGATAATCACTCAATGATACGGTGTCCTGATTTTTTTGTTTACAACGCGACAAAAGAAATCACCCGCAGCATTTGAGAGCCTTTTATTTTCAAAATTCCATGTTTGTATATCAATTTATTACATTAGGCCACACCGTCTTAATTTTATGGATGACATCCGCGCGCGCATTGATTTTCACCTGTTCTAAAAAAAAAAGAGATAACGTCCACCCTCCGAGGCTCTGTCCTGGCTGTAGGCCTGGGTAGTCTATGGTAGCTAGTGACAATACGGAGCCTGTGGTAACTTTGGAGGACGGCACCCAGGCTGCTGAAGCTGCACGACTCAATAAAGCGACGGTCACAACCCGCCGTACGTGCTTCTGCGTGCTGTCTACGTGCAAAAACGTGGGCAATCGTAGGGCATCCGTGCGTGGTGTGTACCGCCTCCGTACGGAATCCTACGGATTTGGGAGCACGCAGACACGCCGTAGAACTTTAAGTGCATGTAAAACTTTTTCTACGTGCGGTCTGCGGAATTACCACCCGTGCGTGCGAGTACGTGCGACGCGCGTGCCCCGTACAGCCTATGAGCGTGCAACGTACGGACTCCGTGAGTCTAACTTCACTGTTCTCACGTGCAATTGCTGTACGGACAGCGCACGAAGCACGTGCGTGCCACGCACGGTGCTCGCGTCATCCGTGCTTACTCCTCACATCCCAGTTGACCTGCTCAATGACCATACCAGGTGCTCCGCACGTGCAACGCACCTGATTTCTACAGTATATAAAGACGACTTGACGGGCGACTGCCAACTCGTCTCCAAGATGCCCAGGAAGGCTCAGAAGAAGACTACCAGACAAGAGCCAATGAAACGGGCCGCGGAAGACACCAGGGCGGCTAGTGATGATGAAGTTAACAGGAGGTGCACGCACTTACAACGTGCGAGTGAGTAAGGAAACCGTGCGTACGCCGCACGTGTAGGTACGGCCTGTACGCGGCAACGTAGCAATCGCACAGAGATCGTGCGTTTTAAGCACGTACAACTCACTTACCACTTGCGCAACGAACGATGCACGCAACCGCTGACGGCCAGGCGTGTCGTGCAGACCACGTACGTACACCTTGCGCAACCGTGCGAGTGACGTACTCCTTCGGCCGGCCTCCCTACGTTTGCAGAAAAAACGTAGCAGACGTAGCCACGACAGAAACGTACGGACAAAAAGCACGCACGGCGAGTTGTGACCGTCGCTTAACTCAGTACATACATACAGTACCGATTCATAAATTCCGCAAAAAGCCAGCATGTGGCGACTTGTCGTATACGTCGCTAAGTACTGCCGCAAATTCACAATACCAGCTTTGTATTCCTGTGGTTATTGTAGTAGCATTTTAATTTTTTTGTCGGAATTTTTTTTATTCGCCCGCGCGCACTAGTTTGGGGGTCTGCAGTGGATGTCATCCATAAAATTAAGTCGGTGTGGCCTTACTACAAGAAAGCAAGTCTTAAGAATGTTTTCTCTTAAGTAATTACCACCTGGGGCGATTTTTAACATCGGAAAAAAGACGTACCTATAGAAAGAAATTTCGTTTTTCGGTATCTAATAACCCTAGACACATGGATAATTCTTTCACAATTAGAAACAAAGACAAAACAATCCCTCAAAATCAACAGATGTATATCAACTGATGTCCTTTGTGTCTTTACGGCCTGTCAAACTATGTAGCAGCGAGACCAGCGAGATCAGTTCCAGCGCAATTATCTACCATGGCAACGGAGTAAACATTGTAAGATCAGACGAGACGATAATCACAGGGAGGAAATGTTTGTAATATCCGAATGATCAATTTAGGTCATCAGTTCCAGTCTGAAGGGCATACTGTCTGCTGCACAGAACACTGAAGTAGATATGAAAGTTGCAAGTGGTCATCGCTCTTTGATATCTGATATTTGAAGACATTTCTTCTTTTCTGGGCTGGTATTTGATACCGTTTATTTGTAAATTTCTAGAATTCTACATGATGCATAGTTTGGACATTTTTCGTCTGTCCTCCAGTGAACCCCACTGTACGTAGGTTTCCTTTTCATTTCCGTGACACTAGTATCGTTTTCATAGTTGTTTGTACAGCTGAATCTTGCAGTTTGATTCTTTATCCTTTTCAGTTTATCTTTGTCTTTTTTGGTTCTACCACTAGTCTATGGTTTTCCTATTGTCCTGGCATATTCTAGGTTTGGTCTTATAAGCGACGAGTATGCAAGTGAATTTACCCTTGTTGGGCATGCCCACAGATGGCGCTTAGTCACTTAGTCACTCACTGTATCTGCCCTTCTGCTGTCGGCTCTCCTTTCGCTAGGAAAGCATTTTAAATTTAGTGTTGCTCCTTGAATTCTATAATACTCCGATTTTGAGATGAGCCTGCTATGGGAGACGTTGCCACACTGATATGACACAATTTCTTCATTAATTATGCAAATAGAGTCATCATTTGCATAATTTGCATCCAATAACTTAGATCTCTGTCTAAGCTACCCACATACCAAAAAATCATAAAAATACATCGTTCCTTTGTGAATTTTTCTGCTCTGAAAGGTTTAGCCAGAAACCCTCCTGTAGTTCCAGAACAAGCTTATTACTGGCAGGAAAAGCTATCTACAACTAAATATCAAGACCATAGCATGTCCCGGACAAAAGATACAAAAACCGGAAGTTGTGTTGCAGTACCAAGGTCAGCCACCAGGAGGCCCAAAATTAACCTTGACCTTTGCCTACCCAACACCTA